ATCCTACCACGCCTCCGCGGCTGCCAGCCATCAGCCACACCAAAAGATGAAGCGTGCCGTCTTGAACAAGCACACCCCGTTGAGCGAGGACATCATACGCAAGCTCCCCAAGGCCGAACTGCACCTCCACCTCGACGGCAGCGTTCGCATCGGCACCATCATCGAACTCGCCGAAGAGCAGGTATCCGTAGACTCGTGCACTCTCCGTCTCTCCTCACCTGACCACTCTCTGTTTGGCGTGTGGCCACCAGGGCGTGGCACTGCCTTCGACCAACTACGATGAGCTGAAGGACAAGATCTACGTCGGCGAAGACTGCACCTCGCTGGTGGACTACCTGCGCGCCTTTGACATCACCCTCAGCGTGCTCCAGAAGCCTTGTACGCACATGCGCACCGCACTACCGCTGCCATGCGAGCCTGTGGCGCACTAACACTGTTTTGACTGTGCGCCGTGTGTGTGTGTGTGTGTGTGTGTGTGTGTGTGTGTGTGTGTGTGTGTGTAGATGCGATCACGCGCGTGATGTACGAGGTGTGCGAGGACGCCGTGGCGGACGGCGTGAGGTATTTGGAGGTCCGCTTTTCGCCCATCCTCCACACCAAGGAGGGAATGAGCCTCTCCCAGGTCATGGAGGCCATCTGCGAGGGCCAGCTCATGGCCGAGCACAACCTGCCCATCTTGTACGCCGCTGCTCCTTCCCCCCTCCCTTCGTTCCTGCTGCCAGCGCTGCCGCTGCAGCCTGGCTGACTGACCAGTGATTGTGTGATGAATGTGGAATGTGTGTGCATACAGCTGTCGCATCATCGTGTGCGGCATGCGGCAGCTCGACCCCAAGGACACCGAGAACCTGGCCGAGATCGCATGGCGCTACAAGGACAAGGGCGTGGCCGGATTCGATCTCGCGGGACCCGAGTACGGCTTCCGCTCCAAGACCCACAAGGTACCGCGTTGTACGCCAACCCCCCCTCACGAGTGTCACCCGAGCGCTAACGGAACGCGGTGGTGGCGGTGGGAAACATGGCAGCCCGCGTTTTGACAT